CCTTGGCAACCTGCATGGCTGCTGTTGCATCTTGCTTCTGCGGCTTTTCACTTCGTATTTTTTTTCTTTAATTTCTGTGTTTGTGCTTGTAAATTTCTTATAGTAGGTAGCTTTATTGCTAGTATTGAGAAACTTTAGGTAATGACTCTTTTTCAGAGATGTCTTCTACGTGTAGTTTGCTTTAGGCTTTTGAGTCTGCTGCAGTATTCTAATTCTTCAATTTATTGGGGATGAGAAGTTGCTGCATATTTGGCCTAATTCTGGTTCTTTGGTATTTCTCTGTAGTATTAGTTATGAAGCTCAAACTATCTCAGTCTTGGAATACAAGGAGCAATAACTGACTACAAAGCTATAACAAGCTGGATAAAGTAATACACTTAGTAATAACAATTGCATACGCTAGAGAATGACAAAGGGTGATAATTATTAATTTATCACCCTTAACCATATGAACAAGGTTTGTACTTGTATAACAACAAAAAAAAAGAAAATTGTTCATAGTTAATATTCCCAAATATGGCAATTTTACCCTCAGAGGAGAAAACTCAAAAAGAGCTTAGGAAAAAAATATTCCTTCTCTTTTCTCTTCCCATTGGCTCCGGTTCTTCCTTCAGTTCCATTCTGGATCAAGGAACCCCCTTCCCATCCCCCTCTTCTACATTGCAGCATCTGGACTCCAAGTCACAGACTGGCTGTTTTTCTGCTCTTCGTCATTCCACCATCTTCCAAGAAAATCATCTCAGTTTTTACTGGCATAAAATTCAAGCCATTCTCCCGGCAATCAGAAAAGATAGGTGTTTCTATGGTGCTTTGGTCATCTTTCCTTGGATTTAAGTCACCCTGAGAGTTCATGGAAGTGCTGCTCTGTGCTCCTTGTGTCACCTGGTGGCCTGCAGTGTGAAATACATTCTAGCTCCATCTGGCATTCTGTTTTCTTTATCACAAAGGCAGGAGCTAAAAGTAGTGTTCAAAATTTTAAAAGTTAACCTTTAAGGAATTCTGTGACTACATGATACTATTCTTGATTTCTGCCTTTTTCGTTTACAAAGTTCAAAATGTTTCCTAGCTCATTAAGAAATGTGGGCTGATTCCCTCATCCAGATTCTGAAAAGAAAAAAAAAACAATTACTTATTGTTATTTTAATTAGAGGACTTATGTTCATACTTATAAGAAATGTTTTTGTGTGGTCAAAAGGTGCAATCTATCAGTGTCTGCAACCTCCTATAGCAGAATATGAAGAAATGCATAATTGTTTGAGTAAAAAACATTAGAGAGTAAACATCAAAGATCATCCGTTGAAAATTTTCGGATATAGACATTATAACAAAAGAAAACAATGATAATTACAGAACAGGTTGTCTAAGGTGAACACAACAGTCCCTTCCATCCCATGCCTTCTCTTACAACGTGATGTTGACACCACCCCTAATGAGAGTTTGGGTCTGTACTACTTCATGGATATGGCTGTGTTGTTGACCAAGATGGAAAAGATTATATGTAAATCCAGGGCAAAGTTATTAAAGATGGTAGAGTTTCTGCATTTTTCTACTTAATTACCTTTGGAATATTTCTTCCATCCCACGGAGCATCCCAGAATCTACTGATGGTGACAGCTGATAGCCGTCATCAACAACTAGACAACTCTAGGAGGACATCTGCAGGTGCCTTTAGACATAAACCCCATCCATTTGTAATCTATGTGAAATAGAAATACATTGTGTTTGTTTAAACTTCTAAGCTTTTGGGGGGCAACCAGGAATCAACTTCAGAACCTCACACGTCCCAGGCAGGCCCTGAGACACTAAACTAACCCCATAGTCCCTAAACTACTAAATTTTTGAGGAGTTGGATTTTTGATTAATTTGTTTTATTTGTGGTAATTAATAATTAGAACAATTTTTGTCAGAACTTTTAATTAAAATAGAAAGAATATTCTGAGCACATTCTGTATATTATTAATCCTTCTTCTGCAGAAAGGCTGAATTTGCAAATGGATACTGGACCTACTCGATTTCATGATTATTCTATAGAGATAGGAAACTGTTTGGGATGGGGTGATTTATGGGTAAAATGTAATGCACAGCAGTCCACAGATTTTCCAAACCATGACCTAACGTATTCAATGCAATTGGGAATAAGTTATTTTGTCAAAAATGTGTATGCACACCCTATGGACATAGAACTGGACAATTCAAATATTTCAATATTTCTTTTTCTATAAAATGATTTATCCATAAGTCTAAACAACTCCTTAAGGGTGATACACATTCCTTTTGAAAAACTAAGTATAGATTTTTTAAAAAAAAACATAAAGTTTACTTTCACGTAACAGACTCTAGACAGGTAAGACTTAACAAAGAAACATGTAATTTGAACGTCTAATGAAATTAAAACAGTCCGGATGTCAGCCACTTGGACTCTACTAAAATACATTGTAAAGCAGAATACATAGGAACAAATATTTTGTAACATTAAAAATGACATTTTAGGTTTTATGTTTGGTTTGGGAGCTAGATTCTGCCTTCATCTGCTGACAACAACTCTTCTTGATAAGCAGCTCCTTGAGCACTACAGGTTGTTAGTGGAAACTGAACAATATATAACAGGACACTATGTTTTCTGCAACTCAAGATGCCTTTCATGGACTAGGTGCTATCTAACGCACTTAGCCATAAAGCCTGACATGTAAGCCACTCCATTGTTAAATGGAAATTGCACATATGTGACTGGGCTTGAGCAGTTTCAGAAACTGCAAGTATGACACATGAACAAGTGGCCTTAACATCATTATTACTCTAGTTTTACAGTCTTCTGTCAGTCGGTGTGTACCTATGGTCTCAGAAACTGTCCCATTTGACCTGTCGAGATATATATATAGAGAGAGAGCACGAGGTGTACGAATGGTTCACCCATCACATGGGTGAAATCTACTCTTACACAGTCGTAGCACTACAACTACTTTCCAGAACACAAGTGAAATAATGTTGAAGGAAAATCTTCAGAGTGGATAGAACCTTGGGGTACATAGCTCTCATATATGTTGCTTGGGAGAAAATATGGCCAGATGTGTAATTGTAAAGATGTGTGTCTATGTACCAATTCATTGCCTGTAGCCAGTGTTCTTGAAGGAGTGTTACAAACTTGAAAGAACATGGAAAATTTGAGACATAGATATTTGGCAATAAATTATTTGGATAGCCATCTCCCTCATTTAAAAGAATGTAAAAATATTTGTTTCTTACTTCAATAACCCTGATAAGAGTCCTCAGAAGAAGAGGAATTTAGTAAGAAGATATACAAAATCCCATTCTGTTGATAGCAGTCAACCACTTTATTCATACAACCATATCATTGCCCAAATGGGCTCATTAACAGAGTGATCATGGTGACAGAGACGCAGGTTATGAATGGGCTCAGGACCGTTGACTTACATTCCCCAACAATGACCTGGCTGCTACAGCCACTGCTGAGTGCCCAACTTGCTAAAAAAAAAAAAAAAAAAGACCAACATTGAGCACTGGTAAGACATCATTTCCCACGATGTTAAGCCTACACCCTGAGGACAAGTTGAATGTATTTGACTGCTTTCATCATGAAAGTGGCAGCTCTTTGTTTTCACTGAAGTAGACATTTATTCTACGTAGGTGTTTTCCTTCCCTGTGTATAATGTTCGAACTAGAATTACTATCGTCAGCTTTAAAATGCTTCACCTACAATTAGATTCTTCTGCACAGCATTGATTCTAACCAATAAATGCTCTTCAAAGCTAAGGAAGGGTGGCAATGGGCTCATGTTCGTGGAATCCACTGGTCCTGACACACTCCCCACCATCCAGGTGCAGGTGAGTTGGTACAATGCTGAAAGCGTCTTTTGAAGATGCCAGCGCAGAGCTGCCATGTAGCAACAAATAGCAAGCCCAGGCAAAGTTATCCATGTGTCTGTACAAGCTCTTAGTATCTAACCTCTGGAACTACTACCAGAGCCCGGCTTCCTTGGTACAGGAATCAATGGGTGAGAAATGCAGATGGCACCACTGATGATTACTCTCAAGGGCTCACTAGTGACTCATGTACTTTCTGCTTCTTGTGACTTTATGTTCTACTACAGTAAATCTCAATGTCACAAATGGAAAAGCTTCTACCTAGAGATACAGCATGGATTCCACTTATACAAACTCTGATGATTTCTCCAGGCCACTCTGGGCCACTCATGCATCTGAATCAATAGGCTGAATGACAGTTATGGCGCTAATGGTGGTGATTACAACAGGCTATCAAGACTAGTGCCCCTCAGGGGAGGTAATGATGATATGTTTCAAACTCAGGGGATCCCTCCTGACATCTAATATTAACGTGGCCTGTTGTTAAGGTCAGTGAAAAGTTACAACAACCCAGTCCAGGCAGAAAAGAACTTTCCCAGATGCTTCAGGAAGAAGGATTAGCTCTCCATGTAGACAACTTGGAGATAACATGGAGCACCTGAGATGGCGCCTGAGAACGTGGAATCTTTGGGGGACGTTTTGCTGTATTCCTATACTATATAATATAATTATAACCGACCTAATATCAGAAATTAAGTGTTAATAAATCTATATTTTGTATGTCAAGTCATGTCAAGAGAAGTATACACATCACCCGAAGGAGGTTTACCCACTAAAATGGGGAAGAGTGAGTACATGCTCATCTCCATGCGGAGTGGTTTCATTACGTAATGTGGAATTGTAAACTTTCTGTTATCATTGTTTGGAAAAAAGTATACGGTTTAAGGAGACGTGCTTGGTTTTGAAATTGACCTGAGATGCCCCGTGACTGCTAACCATGACATGTCTGCTTGACTGGATTATGCAATATCTAGCAGATTAGCAAAGTGCCCTGCTGGATCTGCTTGTCACATGCTTCAGATATGACTGGTATGTAGTTCACCACTTGTCCAGGGGAGGACCTAAAGTGACTGTGGATGGCATCCTCCAATGGGATAACAAGTCAAGGAGCATTAAAAGAGTGAAAGTGCGTGCCCATAGCTGTGTACTAAAGCTCCAGTTTTCTCAGCTACACAACTCAGTGTTGCACCAAAGACTCTCCAGGTAGGTCCCAGGCTTTTGACATTGGGGTGGTTTTGCTTTTGCTCCCTTTTATTCTGTGAATTATAGATTCTTGTGCAGAGCAGCTACTGGACTTTTCTGGGTCTCCATCACAAAGACAACATCTGTGGACATTCCTGGCTCTAAATTTGTAAGCCAACATAATTATCATCTTGCAGAAATATACCACCAGAGAATATAAGTGCGTGTGTGATGAATATGTGCTCTCTTGATTCTACTGTTCTAGAAAACTCTAACCATACAATTATATAATAATATATCTAGACTATGTTGACTGATTTCCAGACACAAACCACAAAAAATTAACAAGATACTACTTACTTTCAACCATGGACTCATTTCCATTTGCACTAGCTTTTTTAAAGCTTGAATTGTGTTAAATTTCTTATAGTGAAGATGGACCAAGATTCCATGATCTGCCTGTCTTCAGAGTCTTCTTCATCATCTTCAAACCTTTAATTTCCCCAATGAGCCAAAGACCATCAGTCTGTGTTTTATTTGATTTGGAAAATAGATCATTTCAACAGGGAATAAACTCTCATTTATGACATTTTTCTTTTCATATATCAACTATAAATTCAAAATGTCTTTGCTAAACTCTTATTACTACATGTAATGTCTAGCTATAAGTTTGTACATTTCTCTAAAAGGGCATTATATTCAGTGAGAAAATATGAAAACAAAAATTGTTAAGTCAATGCAGAGGTATATTAGAAAAATTTTAGAAGAGACATATATTGGAGGGTGAAATGCATGCAAGCTTAAATTCAAGGCAACAGTATTTCTAAAGAATATACCCTACTTTTACACCAGAATTCCTTCCGTGTATGAAAAAAACTTAGCAGTGGAGGAAGGCATGGTTAGTAGTGTGTCCATCAAGTACAGCTTTATGAACTGTTGTCAACCAGCTTCTGAGTGGAGAGGAGTATAGAATGGCACTCTGGTATGCTGAGGGCTCTGATTCCTCCACACTGCTCTAGCACCTCCTCTATGCTTACAGAAATTGATGATCTCCACAAAGTGATTTAGAGGCATGGATTTAGTCATTAGAGGAATGAATCAACAACTGCATTCTTATTCATTGTACTCACATCATTTGGGAATCTCTAGGTGCTGCACAGAACATTAAGCCCTAAAATGATGATTGTTTTCATCTCACCCAGATTAAGTTGGGTCAGAGAAGGCAGATCCAATCAATTTAAAGCAGAGAGTGTAACATTCTACTTATCATCTTTATCTTACATTTTGCTGTATTTGTTGCATACATTTTAAAATTTAACTAACCTGTCAGTTTTGAAAGAGAAATTTTATAACTGATAGTACAAGCGACTCCTTCTTAGGTGAAATACATTGCTATTTATTTCAGAAACTGCAAAGAAATAACTGTAAATTTTAAAGTAAATTATTTCAATACTTTTACAGATCTCCCAACCCACAGTGACTCCCTGAGCACACCTTCATCACTCCTCTCAGGTCCTTTCCAGCATAGTTGACCAAAACCTTTCATTTGTACCTTCTCAAAATGAGTAAGAGATAAAATTACATTTATTGTATGAAATTTATGGGAATAATGTGATGATAAAAACAGAGGGTTTGAAAAGGAAAGAGAAGATCTGATTAACTGCGAACATGAAAATGTCAAAGTTTAGAAACCAGCCTCTGACCTTGCAGGTGGGAAAGCCGGTCCTGCTCTGGTGAGGTGTGCTTCCTGTCCTGTTCACCACCATGGACATCAAGGGGAAAGGTATGTGCAGCAGGTCGGGGAGATGCTGGTTGCATCGACACTCTTGCATGGGTGAATATCTATAATTGAAGTTAACAAAAACGGATTTCAGCTTTATACTCACCATAGCAATAGTCAGTGGGTGTATTTTATCACAGTCTAGAAGGGCAAAATTATCATTTCCTGCTACCCTAGTCTGTTATATGATTTGACCAACCTGAGTGAGCACAATGATAATTTTAATTCTGAAGTCATAATGGAGAAAATAATGGTACATATAAATTTTTTATTGTTTTATGAGTTTCACTTAAGCCTAATTACGTTTTGAAATGATAAGCACACTACTGTTAATCTTGTTTTTTTCTTAGAGCCTTTTGTTATAAACACAAGTTATAACAACCATAAATTTTTCATAGCACACATGACAAAAATATTTGTTTTTTTATGATAGCTTAGATTTTAAATGTCAGTCCAATGATCAATGGTAAGACTAATGTATTTACAGTTTATAAACTTTCACCAGTTATGCATTTGTTCATTTGTCTATGTGCCAAGTACGTTTCATTTACATACATATATAGAAGATCTATTTGTCAATATTGCATTACTATAACTTGTACAAAATAATGTTTTGGATATATAAGTATTTGGAAAGTAAAATTGTGTGAAATAATTCATACCACAAAGTTTTAATTTTGCAACTAAAATGTTATTTAGTTACATAATATGATAAATAATTTCAGGCATATTTATCTGTAATAGGTAATTTTTTTATTTATTTTCCATATATATCTTTAATATTTACCTAGTTTGACCCTGAAGATTTTCACCTGCATTTATCAAAGGTTCTGTGGAACTTAGTGTTCTGATTATTACCTTCTTATATCAGAAATTCTTCTAGAGCTGCCACTGAAAGTAAAAGACTTCTTTAGTTGCTGTTGTATTTGTTTTTGTGCATACCAGAAATCTTTCTCAGTACCTCACGCTTGCCAGGCAGGGGTTGTGTCACTGAGCTACAGCCCCTGCCCCTAAGATGACTTTAATATACCGCAGATCAATTTACATTCCAACTGTGAGCGCAAATTGTTGATAAAGTAGAGGCTTGCACCTTGCCATCTACTGGCAGCAAACTGAAGGATCCACCTCAAATCACTGACAACGACTTTTAAAGAGCGAGTTTTATAAAGCAAATGACGTGGATCCTCTGTAGCTTCAGAGAGCCCTTTTATCCCGCTACACAATGCGAAGTGTTGTTCTTCCTGAGAATGACAGTAATTTCCACAAACACTGTGCTTCCAGTCATAGATGTGGCCCCGATGCACAGATGCAGACTGACAAGCAAGCACTGGGCAGGATGAGGCAAAGCCCAAGGACTAGAGCATGGGTGTTCCACACATACCCTCCTTGTGCTAACAATAAAACTATGGCAAAATCATTTCACTATTCTTAGTCTTTCACTTTAATAAATTTGATGATTGTTATGAAGGCTACATCTGTGTGCCAAAGTTATCATAAAGTTTTAATTTAGTAAAATATCTAAAAGATTTAGTAAAGTATGAAACAAATGCATGGAATTATTATAGTGAGTTAGCAGACTAAGCCCATAGGACTTTTTCTTATGATAGTATTCTCATCCTACCTAATATCAGCAGGCGAGCAGTCCTGTATTTATTCTTATTGTGCATGAAGACAAAACATGCAGATAAAATGTGATGTTTCCATTTAACTGTTTAAGATGCCCATATCTACGAGTCAGTTAAAAAATGACAAACCCTCAGAGATTTCTACTGGTGATAAGGTGCACAGTTTCCTGGGATATTAAACCATTTTAAAAGAAAATGGATTAAAAGTTTGAGTCAGTATTAATCTAATTTCCAAGTGTTTCCATGCAACCGAGGTATTTGTGAGAATGTGTCAGTTGCTTTTCTCTTGTTGCTGGGACAAAACACACAACATTCATAGTTAAGGAAAGAAAGGTTTACTTAGCTACAGTGTGAAGAGGATTCAGTCCATAAGCAGCCAGCTCCAAGGCGGGGTGGCAGGGCATAGAGCCAACCGTTCTAAAGGGCAGAAACAGAAAAGGCAACAAGAGCAAAGGAGGGGAACAAGCCTCATTTCCTCCCTTGTAGTGTAAGCAGCCTACCTGCCACGGGGCAAGTGCAGCACTCGCACAATCTCTGTGCCCTTCTCTTGAAGAGGCTGAGGACGTTTACAAAGTAAGGACCCCGGCTCCCTGATGAGTCACTTAGTTAAGCTTCTAAACTTGTGAAGTTGACACAATAAATCAACCATAACAGAGAGTAATATGAAAATGCAGGAATCATCCACTTCTTAGACTGTGAAAATATAACTCACCTATGGCGACAGAGTAGAAAGTGTTGGCTCTTTCTTGTCTGAGTGCTTACTGCACCAAGTTGTGTTTTGGAGGCAGTGGAAACAGACAAGAGTTCACTGAGCAGGATGGATTGTGATGATGCCGTGAACTAGGTCATTGCATATGTTTGTGGTTTTGTTTAAACAGGGTCCCTCCTCCTGCTGGCTGTGTCAACCCTGGTCCTGTGCCAGAATGTGGCCTCCAATCCCATCTGTCTTCAAGACACAAGATGCCAAGCGTTCCTCCAAGACCTGTATTACAAGGCACTCTTCAGTACCATGGAGATGCAGTTCAACTCTTTAGAACTGTTTATGAAAATTGTAAGTTTCTTACATTCTGTCTCTTTGTAAAATAACCACCATTGAATAGGCTATATTATAGTATAATTATAAGGAAACTTATCAAGCAAATGTCAAATAATAAAAAATTAATATATTAAAAAAGATAATGGTAAATACTCTTGAATGAAGGAAAAGAGAAATGTTACAAAAATCTGATTGTCAAAAATTAATGATTTTTTAAAAATATTCCCTTAATACTCTTAGCCATTAATAATTTAAACACCAGACATAAATCACTTTGAAACAGAGCTAAGAGCACTGATCTCTGGCTCTTGCCCACAAGGCACAGTCCACGGGCATTCTGCACTGGACACACTTCTGATATCCAGAAAGGAGAACAGCTTTGCAATGAATTGAGCGGACTGAGTAGTGTTAACTAACCGAAACCATGCCAGGGGAAAAAAGTACCAAAGTAACAGCCTTGAGAAACTTCCCCATGCTAAAATTACTTCTGGAAATATTTTAAGACTAGGAGTTTATAATCATGATCAGCTAGTTCATAGGAGGACAAAAGCACTCCCCTTCCTCTAAAGCTACTTTGCACATTGTCTTCTATCTCTTCTATGCCAACAACAGGTAAAGTTTTAGAACAACCAAGCACTTCCATGTAGAATAGAGCCCAGGTTTTGTGATGCATACAGTGCGTATATTTCACTTTATTCACCTGTGTTTTCTTTATTTTTTTTCTACTGGTCATCTTTCATCTTCCAAACCATCCTAGCAGTCCCTCTACAATTTCACAATTTTGGCACAATATTAGTCACTAGATTTCCTTTGATTTTAAACTTAATTCATTACTTAGGATTTCCTAAAATGTTTTCCTCTATTTTCTTACTTACCTTGCCAAAAATAGTATTTTGAATTCATGGTTAACTTGGAAATATTTGTGTGTATGGATTAAAGCCAGTTGACAGAAACACTTTTGCTAACATTTATAAAAAGAAAGAATACCATTTTGGACCAACTGGAAAAAAAGATGAAAGAGGTAGGCATAGATGCATTTTTGTTTGTTTATTTGTTTGTCTTTCTGGTACCGGGAATCGAACTCACGACCTTGTACCTGCCAGGCAGATGCTGTGCCGCTGAGCTAAATCCCCAGCCCTGCATAGAGGAATGTGAAGGATGGTGGTATTCTCCTCAGATCCTAGAGAAAACAATACATAGTGTACTTGCAGCTTTGTAGTTTTTACTATTTCACTGCTAGCATTTCAAATCAAAACTCTAAGAAGGCTGAGACAACGGGGAAATAGGAAAGATGGCAAGAGTTGGAGAGGTTAGAAAATGAGTTAAAAATGGATCACAGAGTTAATGGAAAGCAGCATGGGAAACAGCATGCAAAAGGGTAATTTTCACTATATTTTAGATTCAGTTTTTATAGAGATCTGATTTTTTAAATCACACATGTATTAGTATTTTCACAAGAGATTCTTGTTTTTAATGCTCCAACCAAAATGATGGCATTTTCTTCATCATTTCAGACAAAACAATATTCACAGAACCTAGTCTTCCATATACCAGGGATAAGAAGCTGCCACACAGCTCAGATCCCAGTTCCAGCTAGCCAGCAGGAGGCCGAGCTGTTGCAGGTGAGTCCCTACCCTGGCTGTGCCAGAACAGCTGAGGCGCTGCAGTGGCTCTGCCGGACACCAGGCCCTATGAGGCTCTGTGGTCCCTCGTAGCAGTCGTCACATCTGCAGAGGAAAAGGGAGGAAGATGTGCAGCCCAAAAAGAAGTGCTGTATGTAGTTAGTGAACTATGCACAAAATGATGATGATTGTTCCACAGCCAGAAACTTACCACGCATCTGATGTAATTTTAACCAATGCCTTGTGCCTAGGATTCAAAATATACTGTAGGAGAGTTTGAACTGAATGGGATATTCATGCATATATGTAAGAAATACAGATTTACTTTTATTGATTACAAGTTACCTGTGCCCCTTGCATTTGTGGGATTTACATTACTGACCCCTATCTCTCCTGACTTCCAACACTCTCCTTCTCTTTCTGCTTGTGCTTCTCCAATACTAACTTCTTCACGCTGCCCTTCTCCCCTGCCACCTCCTGTGTCTTCCTGGAAAATCACCCACTGTGCATATCCTGCTCAATGTTACATTATATTCCTCACAGACGGAAGTCCAATCTCTCTTCTGAGGACAACAAAGTCTCCATATCAAGCCTTAATCACCCAAGGATACACTAACATTTTAGTGTTGTTATTTCTCTTTTGATTTGTAGCCATTAAAAAGTATTAACCTGATTTTTAAAAATGGAAAATAGTTCAGAAGAAAAATAAAGCCCAGAATAGTGAAGACATATATTACCTCTGTCTCTCCGACCCGGAGTCTCGCATAACTAACCCAGCTGCGTCTCACTTGTGTTTTGTGATGCTGCAAACTGGCCACATAGCACAAAGACATCATCCACGTGGTGATCCGCTTGCTGCGCTCCTGGGACGAGCCCCTGACGAGCCTGGCCCTGGAAGCACACCGTCTGCCAAAATTACAAGACTTTTTCTCCCTCAAAAGAGGAAGCATTTCTCAAACACACCGGGAACTTACTCAACTGGCAAAGAGGCTAGCAAGACATGTGAGCAGCCTTTCTATACTTTCTTAATTTTCTGATAATGAGTTTTTTAGCTGTGATGAGAAGTGTATTGAAACCTAACACTTTGCACAAAAAATTTCTGGCTGGATCTTCCATCTCCTAGATTGCCATGCAACAGTTTAAAGCCCTGGACAACCACAGTATAGATTCTCATGTAAGGGACTGTTGGGGTTTGCTGTCCTGACAGGGCCCAAGACTTATCCCTTTATGGGGTCAGTGGTTAAAGATATTAAAGGAAAGAAAGTCAGAGCAGAACACTGGCAAAAGAAACTTTTCCATCAAAGGTCACAGGACAGCCAGAGGAATTGGGTCATATTCTTTTTCTAGCCTCCTCATACAAGAGGATTAGAATGATAAAGGAAGACAGAAAAACTCAAAATCATATGGGAGATTCTGCCTCCACATCCTTAGGCAGAGTAGCCTGAGGAAGCTACATCATCAGTGATGTCTCACAAGCACAAGATGTTAGAGCATCATAAAAGTATGGAAATCAGTTTTGGAGAATATTCCCAGTTAGATTAAGTATAGAAATTTCTGCTAAATTTTGGGTTTCTTGTTGATCCTAAATGGAAATTTGTGTTATTAACTTAAATATTCAGAATACATTGGGCACAAGTATATTGAATCGATATATATGATGGTTATGTCCATTCATATAAGCAGATTCCAGCATTAATGTGATAATGGGCTCCTTTCTGAAATTGTCATAAAAATGTATCATATACAGAAAGATATTTGAAATTAGATATATAGCAGAAACTATTTTATGTGTCTTTTTTACCTAAATACATGCTATCTTGTTACATTTTCATTGGAAGTAGCTATTTGACACCCCTAAAAATATATTAGCCAAGGAACACAGAAGAAACACCTTAATTTAAAGTCATTGTTCATTACTTTGACTAGCTCCCTGAGATCACTGACATCTTCTGTAATGATTTTTGTTATTTTTCTACAAATTTTATAGTTACACTGAATAATTTCATATTTTTAAAGGACATTTTGTGTTAGGGTTCAATCTTGAAAAGAAAATAAGATTAAAACTGGATTAAAAATAAGCACATAGGTTGCAAATTTCAGTAAAATATATCATTACTCTGTTAGAGAAAGTTCAGCAGATCAAGGTCTACAGTTATGCCTGGTTTCCATCTTTGGCTTTAAAAATGAGCTGACCTCCTCAGAGGCAGCACAGTGTTACTGTGGCTCTGGGATCTGAGGGTCTCGCAGCTCGCAGAGGCCGACGGAGGAAACAGGGACCCACGGACCTCGCTCTTGACTGTGCAGCCCTTCCGTGAGCACGGTCTCTCCCCACCCCACAGCAAAGCCTGCAGAGTGGCTCGTTGCTGCCAACAGCCTCCTTTCTGCACATGTCATTCCCAACCACTCCCTCAGGACTGAGCTCAAAAGCAAGAAGTTGCATCTCAGATAAATTTGGGACATATTTTTCTGGTTGGAATGAAAGACCTGAAATTTTTTGTCTCTCATAACTTTAGTTTCTGCTCCTTAAAATACCAAGTGCAGAATTCAACATCTCTAAAGTCTTGGTACATATAAAATATGTGGAATAGATTCAGTTCAAAGCAACAAAAGTAAACTCTAAACTATCAGAAGTAAAGACAAATGGAACATCAGGGTCAAGTTTCAGGAAATGTAAAATTCCCTTAAGCACAAGCATGGGAGTGAGTGAGCCTCTCCAGGGTTTTTGTTCAATCCATACCTATATCCAAGCAGCACCTTTCTGGATCTCCACGTGTCTAACCCTGCAGTCACATACTTCATATCTTATCAGCTACATGTTACAAAAACAACACATGTGTTTTGCTTCTAGTTTTTAGATAATAAGTTTATGACATGCTATATTGGATTCATGAAAATTTATTCTTTGGTTACAGTTTGAAATTTCCATTACTTCTCAAATTTCAATTGAACAAAGTGAAAAATGAAGATATACAAATACAAAGTTTTAGGGGCTGGGTATTTAGCTCAGCGGCACAGCACCTGCCTGGCAAGTGTGAGGTCATGAGTTTGATTCCCAGTACCAGAAAAAAAACAAACAAAAGAATACAAATACAAAGTTTTAATGTGACTCTCTTTTGATATCTAGCTTGATCCTGAAACCACAGACAACGTGGACTACGCTTCATGGTCAGGACTTCAATTGCTGCAAGCATCTGATGAAAAAACTTTCCACACGACATTTTATAACACTGTCCGCTGCCTGCTCATTGATTCACAAAAGATTGAATCACTTCTTGTGTTTCTGAATTGCAAAATTTCCCCTGACAACTGCAATGACGTACCGGTTCCTTTTGTTTCTGAGAAGCACTTTAATGATACATCATCAGCAATTATTTAGGATTCATGGTTTTTAAAGGCATGTTTGAGGGGCTGGGGATTTACCTCAGTAGCACAGTGCCTGCCTCGCAAGTGGGATGTCGCGAGTTCGATTTCTGGTACCAGAAAAAAAAAAATAAAATGAAATAAATAAATTAATAAAAAATAAAGGCATGCTTAAATATTGTGTTTAAGGGATTTTTTTCTTTTAAACTAGAAACATTTTTTGACATTGTCAAAATCTTCAGAGTCAAGTTTTCAATATATCTTTTCTTCATTTAACAGAAAACCTAAAGAAAAAATATCAACACCACTGAAATTTTCTAATGAAAATTGGTGCCAATTAATAGAAACCAGCTCTGCAATTAAGACAAAAGAATGACTGACTTTTGGGTCACATTGAATTAATGTGGAAAATGTTATCAAATATATTGTTAGATTTCTATTAATTGCTAAAACCAGGTCATAAAGAAGAATGCATTTTCAGAACTTTTCTGGAAGCCATCCATGTTCTGTGACCTAAATTTCACAGTGTTTGGACTGACAATATAAATTCTCTTGTAATTGCATCTCTCCTAAAAACATGAATTCAGTAAAAGTTCCAAAAATACTTAGGACACAAACATCAAATGGCTTTAGATTCCTCCAACTCCTGTCTTCAACCACATTCCCCTGCATGGCCATCTCCTTAGCTTTACCTTGGAAACCCTCCTTAAGGTTACTCACTCTGGCTCTAAAAATCCAGCAGTTGAGGTCCAGCTTCACCTCATAATCAGCTATTTTATACTCTCCTCTTCCCCTATCGTGGTTCAAGGGACACAGCAGGGAATACAGAAGTGGTCAGTTTCTACACGTTTCCTTCTGCTCATTCTCATGATCTCCATTTCTCTGACAAGTTTGGAACTGGTTAGAGGGGCACAGAAAGTGAAAAGTTCAAATTCAGTAAGTGTGAGGTGCTGTCCTAGATGTCCCAGTGCTGAAAAGACTCACCTCAAATCACTCTCAGGGGCATGTGTCTGTCTTGGATTCGCTCTTGTGACTCTGAAGGCACCCAGCAGTGGGGGCAGCACACTGCAGACTGTCTTCCTCACAGAAAAGCTCAGGTTGACTCCTAGGTCTGCCACTGATAGTAGAATTCTTCACAGCCACTGCTGCTGCACCCTCACATTGGGAATCATGTACCCTAACCCAGCGGGCAGTGGAGTGACATCACTCCTTCAGCACGGCCGTCCCCTTCCTGATATTTTCTCCGGCTCTCCTTTCTTCCTCCATAAATCTATCCACAGAACACGAAGTTGAATCTATCAGCACGCCTTCCCGGGAGCAATTAGTCACCACTCTTTCCTTCTCTAAATACAGTATGTCATTATACCTGGCAACAATAACTTATAGCATATGTCTCCCACATTTTCCACCAGCTAAGTGATAAGGGTGTCCCCCACCCACATACACATCTTAGTACTGGACTCACTGAGACTGGGTGTGGGTCACTCACCCTGGCTCTGCACAACCTAATGGGAGGGCTCACTCGGGGCCAGCTCTTCTTACGAGGGAGAGGGCTTGCTTGAGAGGTTTTGCATGAGTATTAGAGTTCCTCAGGGATCTGTCGTTGGTAGAAACCAAAATCTTAAAATATATTTTAAAAAGCAGGGTTAAAGATGAGAAAGGGATGGACAACATGTAGTAAGCAATGAAACTAAGTGAAGGGTAGTGCTACATTGCAGGAATATCTAAATCTACCTTAATTTTTAAACTAAATGTAAATGTTTTCATTTTTCTGTTTTTTCTTTTTATGTCCTTATTTTCTACTTTGGTTTCTTTTTTTAAACTTTTTTAATTTTTCTACTTTTTTCTGAGATATTCTTTTCTATTACAAATGTTCTTTGTCCTTGTATGTTGAATGTCTGTAGTTTTAAAGAAAAGCACAACAGAGCATCAGTCCCCACTTGAGTTTAAGGAAATTTTTTAATAATTCTCTATCAAGATATAACAAAAAAGAATGTTTTTCCTTTAGTCACAGTAAAATTTCATAGGAAAAACAATCTCTTTCTTCAAAGCAAGGTTTATTTTTGTCTTAATCTTGCCCTTAACTCAAAACACAGGATATGAAACTTGCAGAACACCACAGACTCCTCTGTAAAACCAAGCTCTGACCCCTTTGCTTCTCCTGAACACAGGCACAACATCCACTCACTCCAGTATCACGGGCTTTCCTTCGAAAAGCAGGGAATTATGAGGAAATTTCTAACATCTATATTGAGCAGTTTCTAGTTTCTATATTGGTGAAGGTTCTAACACTATATGTTTTTTACTTAATTGCCTAGCTGGAAGTTTCTAGATATTTGAGGAGAATAATATTTCCCAGTGGCATGATTTGGCAACAACACACTAGTAATTTTATGAAACAGAAGGTCACCACTATCCCACCTACAACATCACGTATTTCGCTTTTAGAAAGTGTCCATTCCAAACATCAAGTTAAGACTTCTAGTAAACCACCAATGGAGTGAGAATAAAAGATCACTGCTTGTATGTGACATATAAACTGAATACTGAATTCTTCAGAAAGATTGAGCAGAAGCATAGGTGTTCCACAGATTTTGTAAGGAGGAGTGTACATAAGGATATTTAAAAAGAATACAACAACTACTCCTATTCCAGCAATAATGCCTTTCCTTTTTTTTTTTTTCTTCTGTTCATTTCAATGTAAGTTTGCATTTCACTGCATGGCCCTACTCTATCTCTAGGTTATTTAATTTTTAAAAAATGCATCCTCACTTAGTAACCAGACCCTATCCACTATGCTTGACTTAGTATCTACTCTTGAGTTTTTCTTACCAAATTCAGCACCTCTTCAAGTTTTCCTAACACTGCCAAGTCTAAATGTCCATGTACCTGATTTGCTTTTATACCAGTAAACCACACAGTGTAAGATAACTGAAAACACTGTTCAAAAGTGAACAGAGTCTTCCAGGGACAATATACCATTGAAGAAAACAGTGTGTGTGCATGCCCTGCATACAGTTATAAATGAAACATTTAGCACCAAGAGAAAATGGGGAAAGGGCATTTAGAGGAGGAGGAAAGCACTTGGGAGGAAAGGGGATTAAAAAGTAGAACTGAGCTCCATTATATACATAACCCACTCCTCAAGATGACTGAAGTATGCACTAATGAAAACATTTTGTAGAATTTATAAAGAATTGAAAACAATCATACCTACCAAATTCAGACACATTCAAAAAATGGGCATCTGAGATGAATACACACTTCTCAAAGAAGAAATACAAAAGACAAAGAAATATATGAAATGTTCAACATCATTGGTCATTCAAAAGAAGCAAGTTAAAACAACACTGTGATTTTAACTCACCCCAGAAAAAGTGATTATCATCAAGAAATCAACTAATAACAAATGCTGGAGGGTCTGTGGGTAAAAGAACCCCTTCTCCACTGTTGATGGAAGTGCACAAAGGCACAACCACTGTGAAAATCAGTACACTGATTCCTCAAAAATCTACCATTACAGGTCCCATTTGACCCAGCTATTCTGCAGCTATTCTGCTTCTGAGTATAGTCCCAGAAAAAATAAAAGCAACATACCACAGTGATATAAGTGCATCCATGTTTATAGCAGCACAATTTGTGATAGCTAAATCTTGGAAACCACTCAAAAACCCATCAACCGAGGAATGGATAAAAAAGATGTGTTGTTTTAACATAATGGAGTACTACTCAGCCAATATGTGTAAATATCGTAGTGACTCACTAACGTGAAAAGCCAAATAAGTAAATCAGATCCAAAATGTACAATGGGTATTGAGAATCAGGACAAGTTGTTCAAATGGTAAAAGGGAGCAGGATAGGGTAAAAGGGAAAGGACAGAAAGGAAAAGGGAAAAACGTAAATCAGTTATTCTATTAGTGTTTCTTACTTCACTGAAAAGGAAAGTTTGTGCTAAAGTTGAATGGAGAAATTTTAATGCCCATATCTCATACTCCCAATAACCACTTTAAATATAATAATTTGCAATGTATTAACTGTTGTTAATCTTCTATTCTTTTGTATACTATAATCTTTGAGTTACACAAAGGTATAACACTGGACTCATACATGGCAAAAAAACACCAAACTGGTACAGCTGACGTCAACATTTCACCATAATGGAAATATTGACAGGGAAAACTTGACAAACCATAAAGCTGCGATGGAAACTTTCAACAATAACACAAAATGTGGAGTAGATGTTGCTGATGAGTAGGGCAGCAAATACTATGTCACTTGAAATACAAACATTGGCCAGTGGTTGTGTTTTACTTGATCCTAAACATGTATGACAAGTGGTTTGATAGTTAATCAAAAAAAAGTATGAAATACCACAGAGAAATTTCCCTCTAGGATTGATTGGAACTGGAGCTCATAAGAAATCATTTACAGAAGAAAAAATGGAATATTTCTGCCCAGGGACCTATGCAAAGAAAATTCTGGAGCACATTGGCGAACTGACAGGTGAAATGGCAGTTGCAGCATCATAAAGACCTACCCCAACAGGAAACAAAAAGGTGTCAACTGCGCCTACAAGAAAATACAGGAGAACAAAACACATGTGCTCTCTGTGTAAGCAGTGCTTGTGCATAGAAACTGCAGTTGTCATTGTGAAGACTGCTTTGAATGTGACATTTCAAGAAATGCTGATTGCTGTGGTAGAGTGGTTTTGTGTTTACACTGTAGTTCACATACATTTTTATTTTGGATGTTGTCATTCAGATTTTATAAGCATGTATACAGCTGATGTGAAAATCTTGATATCTAATCTAAGCACTCATTATGTATGTGGTATTTTATTTCCATCGTAGGGAAATAAAAGTATACATTGTACACTCTAGTAGGAAGCTCCTGAGAAAACAAAAGAGAAGAGAGGTGACAAGACTGCCAAGCAGGAAATGAAAGCTAAGCACAAGTGCTGTCAGCGTGAGACATGTACAGGGGACATACAGTTGTCATGTGTGAAGACTGCCTTGGGTATGACAGTTGAAGCAAAGCTTGTTTTGTGCTACAGTTCTATTGGTATTTTAATTGTAGTTCATATAAGAATTTATTTCTGATGTTATCATTTAGGTT